GTGTGTGTGTGTGTGTGTGGGGAAAATGATGAGACCTAATATACCTAATATATCTAATAGTTTAAATAGCTGAGCACGATGACATAAATAATATATCATCTCGAATGATGAATGCATCAATTATTGGTAGACTTAACTATCTAAACTTAAAAGTTTATTACTATTTTGGTCTGTGAAATTTATAGCCGACAAATTCCCCTATCTAGTACACAGATTATATAGGATTTATATTAATCTGGGTTCTTAATTTCCTATAGGGCAAGCCCCTATAGTTAATTATATCTTAGATAACTGAAGTTACCTAAGAAGAATCTCGATTAAAATCAGGGTTTCGTCTTCAAGAATTCAATGTTTAAGTTTCCACGATTGCTTATAGGAAAGTCAAATGGGAATGGCCCAATATGGAGCAATTATTTTTGGAATATAAAGAAGCGAAAAGTAGGAAATGTCGAAGATACTGAAGAAGCTTCAATGACATCTCAAACTAATCTATGGTTTGGTTTTACATCTTTGAAAGAGAAATTATATGATATTTCAGTCCTACAAGTTATTTAGATATTCGGGATTTGTGTATGCATGTCATATGCAAATAGCCCGAGAAAATGCTAGGATTTATGTCGTACCGAACGACGACATCGGAATCCTAAAAAATTTAGGACTTATATCGTACGATATAAAATCATAGAAAGTCTTAAAAAATAGTGTGATGATTTACGTCGTACCGAACGAACAACCTCTACGTCCTATAGATATGTTATTTAATCTATCGAGGTTCAGTTGAGGCTTCTATCTCCAGCTTTTATTGTAGTCTTGGCTGTTGTTCGGAGAGGAATCGTCAATCGGTCACGTCGTTATCTCATTACGTGAAGTGAGTAAAGAAAAGAAAAATCATGCCTCGAGTGGCCTATCCTAGGGGATTGTATGAACATACTAAAAGATAGTAATTAAAAGCAAGAATACAAGCAAATGCATATACTACAGTGCAATAAAGAAAGAAAAGAAGCTATGTAAGAAAATACGGTAAAGAAAGATATAAAGAACATGCAGAAAGGTATAATATAATATAAATTGCAGAGAATTTTTATATTTTTACCATTCAAATCTTTTTATCACATAAACAATATAGCTATTTTAACTTTTAAAAACTCTAATATATATTATCTTGGACAAATAAAGTGCATGTGTGTAAAAACTTAAGTTTAAGCATCGGATATAACTTTCAGTGCTAAACTTTCTCTAGACAATGAAGAAGAGAAGAACCAACCAGAGCTACTATTGCTTCTATTTAATTCTCTTTGTCGCTTTTCTTTTATATTTTGATTATGTTGTTACTCTTTCCAAGTCTTCTTGATATACTTCTCCTAACCATAAATTCACACATAAATTCATGTTTACTTATTTTTTTTCTTGGGATGAGTCCAACTTAGTTTGAATATGCTATTACTCTTTTCAAGTCATCTTAATATACCTCTCCTAACTATAAATCTCATTTACTTGATTTCTTTCTAGGGATGAGCCCAACTTTTAGAGAACTCACTTTTGTTCTTATTAAATACATATTGAAACTTCTTCATATACCATATAATATCCATACAATTACTATTGAGCCAATTTAAAACCCAGTTTGTGTGTGTGTTTGTTTGTTTTGGGATCGCTCATTCTCCTATTTCTCTCTTTAAAGGTCTCTTCGCAGAATAACTTTTGGATTAGTGACTTTATAATTGCTATACTTTATAAACTTACGACACGGGTATATTTTCTTCTGCCCGCTTGAATATATAAGATAATGTCACATGGGTTTAAGGAAATCTTATATGGTCCATATCTACTCATCGTAAGATTTAGTATGAGATTAGCCTTATTGTGAACGGACAAGTAAACTTCTTTAATATGAGATCAGCCTTATTGTGAATGGATAAATTTCCTAAGGACTTGGGGTCCTCTTAGCTTTAAAATTCTAGAGCTATCAACATGCAACAATTTTTTTCATGATAGCTATCACTTAGATTGAAGGTTTGAATTCATATGTGCATGTAGTTGTACACTATGATGCCATTAGTAAAAGTTTCATAATATGTTCCCACAACTACAACAAAAATAATGATTTTGGAGATTTTTATTTTATTTTTTAAGTTATAGACAACTTTTGCCTAGTTGACTTCATATATTGCTATTGACCAGTCAAACTTTTGAAATTGTTTGTCATTCATGTCATTGCACTATATTAAATGATTATGGATCTAAGATTCTTAGTAGTTACATCACTTGCATTTATTGAAGGCCTGAACTTGCAATTAATTTAATCTATTTTTATTTGACCTCTGTTGCACAATTTATGTCATGTTGACGTTAGAAACATTTATTCCAAAAATGTACTAAACATGTAGAGGGAAAATTTTGGAGCAATTTTATTGTAAAATACAAGGCTTTAATATATCTTTTGTCCAAGTGATTGATATGGAGTTTTGACAGTTCATTGGAGAATTTTTTAATGGGTATTTACATACATAACACCTATGTCTTATGTATTTACATATGTAACACCTAAGCTTTACTTTTTATATTTTTACCATTCAAATCTTTTTATCACATAAACAATATAGCTATTTTAACTTTTAAAAACTCTAATATATATTATCTTGGACAAATAAAGTGCATGTGTGTAAAAACTTAAGTTTAAGCATCGGATATATAAAATACATGAGAATTAAGTGGCATGAATGGAAATGTTTTTTTTTTTTTTAATTTCTTGTAAATTATATGTATTGAACACAAAAAAAGTGCTAGTAAAGATCTCAAAGAGATACGGCGGTGTAGTTGGAAGAATAATAAAACAGAGGATGACCCACAATTGGAAGACACGGAGGTCCAGTTATCTGACCAGCATATCAAGGCCAATACCAACAAAGGCAACCAAACGACTCGAACCTAAGTGGTTTAACTAGAAGCAAAGCACAGGAAACTAGCCCAAGGGATGAGCAAACCCCCGGGTCATGCAATTCTATTTAAGGCACCCAATAGTTCCTAAATATCATCAAGATGACAAGTCTTAGCCATCCCTGGGATCTCTTTGTTTAAGGGCAGCTACTTATTGAATTATGGTCATTCACCCTATGCTTGATAGCCTCGCTTCATTCTGCTGACATGAGTTCCTCATTATGAATCAAAGATCGACTATTAGTTTGACCAATCAATCGGTACAACTTAGTCGACATGATCAATATTGCCGACCCCTTAACAACAAAAGATCAGCCTAATAACAGCACTTACCAAACCCGGCGAACCGATGGGCCTCCATAGCTTAGCCAACCGACAACATTTACCAAGCCAAGCTGGCCGGCAGCGCCTACCAAAGGCTCACTAGTCCAGCCAACCGAGCCCTACAACTGTATAAAATAGGGCATAAATATAACTTCAGATATTGTATCTCTTTTTCTATAAATAGGAGATGACTATATAAATAAACTGTTAGACGCTTCTCATAAATTATTTTTTTTTATGATGAATCTCCTCTCTTTCTTTATTTCTTATATTTGATTCACGGCCCGAGACATTATTCTTTTATTTATGTAATTTCTTTTTTTTTTTGTTCTTTTTTTTTAAATCTGCTTGTTACTTTTTAACGATTGACGACTTTTTAAATTCATGGGCTTCTTTTAAGAGTAAATTAATCTTAACTTCTGCATCATCCTGATTTATTCTAGAGTCTGTTTTTGGTAGCAGTTCATTCTCCTACTACATTTATTTATTAATTTTTCAATGCAATACTTTATTTTAAGGTTTGTTTACATACATACAAATCAATTTCTATGTATTTATATATCTAACGGCTAAATATTAGTTTTTTACATTCAATATGCACGGTGAATAACAAATTCTCATAATGAGCATGAATCTCAGAACAGAACTTGAATATCGAGATAAATTTTTAAGCAAATGCATTCAAATTTTAATTAAAAGTCATCCAGAGCTCTAATTTCAGCAAACATATAGTCAAACTGACCGGTTCGACAAGACAGACCAAATGTTACCAAAATTGGTTAAATTCAAACCAAATTATGCTCCGATCAAGTCATTAAACCACATTTGAAAGCTTTTTGAGCATATTTGAAAATTCGAACAAATATCGAATATAGCGAGCTTGTAGTCGAATCAAGTGTTTTTATAAGTGAATCTAATAAGCCCAAAATTGCTCAATTATGACATTGTTAAGACACTCAAATGTCCATAAAACACCGTTTGATCGAATGAATCTTGTTGGGTCGTCCGATCAGAGTGGTTTATATTCCTTCATTAATTGCATTCGAGACTCTATAAATAGAGTCTTACCCCTCTCTTGAAAAGAAGGAGAAAGCTTGAAGCTTGAAAAGACTAAAGCTTGGATAAGGAGATGAAGTTGCCTCCTACTCATGTAGCCGCCAACCACCGCCAACCACCACCAACCACCGTCGACCACCATTTGTCGACCACTGTCGATCACCACCGACTGCCACCCACTCATTGCAATGAAAGCTCTGTACGAAGTTACAACTAACGTTGCAGAGTTAAGAAGCAAACAACGAAGTGGCTCATCATCCCAAACATTGAGCTGATCCAAAGACGATGCAGAGCGCATCACGAAGACGGTGTTACAACAGAAACCAAAGACAGTGCAACAACGCATCTCAAATTTGGGGTAACAACACACCTCACATATGCTTGTGCATCTCCCGACTCTGACCCTCACAACCTACAAACATCATTACAACTTAGCACTACATTCTACGTGACTAACTACGACCAACGTGGTTCACAATTTTTGCAGCTCCAAACTCCGAGCTTCACAGTCTATGGACGTCATTACAATTCACCACTACGACCTACGTGACCATCTACATCTTACATGGAATACAACTCGTGCAATTCCTGACCTCGGTCTTGCGGCACAAGAATGTCATCGTGGCTCACCACTATGGCTTATACGACCTACATGATCCACAGCTCGTGCAACTCCCGACTTCGACCCTCGTAGCCTACGTACATCATTACAAGTCACCATTACTGCTTACATGATCAACTATAGCTTACGTTGTCCACAACTCGTAGAGCTCTCGACTCCGACCCTCGCAACCTACAGATGTCATTACTACTCACCATTATGATCTATGTAACTAACTACGACATACATGGTTCACAGCTTGTGCAGCTCTTTAGTCTGGTCATCGCGGCCTACATAAGTCATTACTACTCACCACTATCGCCTACATTACTAACTACTACTTACATGGTTCATAGCTCGTGCAGCTCTTGACTTAATCTCTCGTAGCCTACGAACGTCATTACTATGCACCACTACAACCTATGTGATCCACAACTCGTGTAGCTCCTAACTCTGATCAATGTTGCCCATGTTCGCCAATCGCCAACCACCACCAACCACCGTCGACCACTGTCGATCACCACTAACTGCCATCCACTCATTGCAACGAAAGCTCTGTGCGAAGTTACAACTAACGTTGCAGAGTTAAGAAGCAAACAACGAAGTGGCTCACATCCCAAACACTGAGCTGATCCAAAGACGATGCAGAGCGCATCACGAAGACGGTGTAACAACAGAAACCAAAGACAGTGCAACAACACATCTTAAATTTGGGGTAACAACACACCTCACATATGCTTGTGCATCTCCCGACTCTGACCCTCACAACCTACAAACATCATTACAACTTAACACTACATTCTACGTGACTAACTACGACCAACGTGGTTCACAATTTTTGCAGCTCCAAACTCCGAGCTTCACAGTCTATGGACGTCATTACAATTCACCACTACGACCTACGTGACCATCTACATCTTACATGGAATACAACTCGTGCAATTCCTGACCTCGGTCTTGCGGCACAAGAATGTCATCGTGGCTCACCACTATGGCTTATACGACCTACATGATCCACAGCTCGTGCAACTCCCGACTTCGACCCTCGTAGCCTACGTACATCATTACAAGTCACCATTACTGCTTACATGATCAACTATAGCTTACGTTGTCCACAACTCGTAGAGCTCTCGACTCCGACCCTCGCAACCTACAGATGTCATTACTACTCACCATTATGATCTATGTAACTAACTACGACATACATGGTTCACAGCTCGTGCAGCTCTTGAGTCTGGTCATTGCGGCCTACATAAGTCATTACTACTCACCACTATCGCCTACATTACTAACTACTACTTACATGGTTCATAGCTCGTGCAGCTCTTGACTTAATCTCTCGTAGCCTACGAACGTCATTACTATGCACCACTACAACCTATGTGATCCACAACTCGTGTAGCTCCTAACTCTGATCAATGTTGCCCATGTTCGTCATCACAACTCACCAATATGGCCAATGCGACCCGTGTGGTCCTTAGGTCCTGTAACTCCCTACTACGACCTCTATGGCCAATCGCCAACCACCACCAACCACCGTCGACCACTGTCGATCACCACTAACTGCCATCCACTCATTGCAACGAAAGCTCTGTGCGAAGTTACAACTAACGTTGCAGAGTTAAGAAGCAAACAACGAAGTGGCTCACATCCCAAACACTGAGCTGATCCAAAGACGATGCAGAGCGCATCACGAAGACGGTGTAACAACAGAAACCAAAGACAGTGCAACAACACATCTTAAATTTGGGGTAACAACACACCTCACATATGCTTGTGCATCTCCCGACTCTGACCCTCACAACCTACAAACATCATTACAACTTAACACTACATTCTACGTGACTAACTACGACCAACGTGGTTCACAATTTTTGCAGCTCCAAACTCCGAGCTTCACAGTCTATGGACGTCATTACAATTCACCACTACGACCTACGTGACCATCTACATCTTACATGGAACACAGCTCGTGCAATTCCTGACCTCGGTCTTACGGCATAAGAATGTCATCGTGGCTCACCACTATGACCTATACGACCTACATGAGCGACAGCTCGTGCAACTCCCGACTTCGACCCTCGCAGCCTACGTATGTCATTACAAGTCACAATTACTGCTTACATGATCAACTATAGCTTACGTTGTCCACAACTCGTAGAGCTCTCGACTCCGACCCTCGCAACCTACAGATGTCATTACTACTCACCACTATGATCTATGTAACTAACTACGACATACATGGTTCACAGCTCGTGCAGCTCTTGAGTCTGGTCATTGCGGCCTACATAAGTCATTACTACTCACCACTATCGCCTACATTACTAACTACTACTTACATGGTTCATAGCTCGTGCAGCTCTTGACTTAATCTCTCGTAGCCTACGAACGTCATTACTATGCACCACTACAACCTATGTGATCCACAACTCGTGTAGCTCCTAACTCTGATCAATGTTGCCCATGTTCGTCATCACAACTCACCAATATGGCCAATGCGACCCGTGTGGTCCTTAGGTCCTGTAACTCCCTACTACGACCTCTATGGCTAATCAAAGTTCTTGAAGCAACCATCTACAATTCACCAGGCCAAATACTATCATGGTTATCAACCACGACTTCTGCGATAAGTCGGCACTACAACCACCACCTACAACACTCATGATGGTCCACTACCTTCGTGATAATCAACCATGGCCCTTACAGCCTACTGTAACCAAGAACTACAAATATATTAAGAATAAACAACTTTGTAATTCCATCTTTCATAATTCAGGAGAAAAATGAAATTGTCCACTCACATTTCCTAGTCGATTATTTCAACTGGGATATACCCTGTGGTTTTTACTTCTTTCAATGGTTTTTCACTTAAAAAGTCGAGATGTCTCCTCCTGCTTAATTTTCTTTAATTACCTAAGTGTGTGCTGGTTTTTCATGCAATGCTAAGACGATAGATAATCATTACTCCACCGTCACAAATCTTCTAGCATGCATCAACATTTGTCTCTTTAAATTCTCATAGCACATAAGAAAATCATTAATTTATTTTTCAAAATGTGAAATATTTTTTTTTCATATATAGATATGATGACATGTATGTAAAAATTGAAATTCATGTGTTAGATATGTAACTGCATAGAAAATGGGTGATATGTATGCAAATCGTTTTTTGCAAATAGTTCGTGTTCTGCTCATTCAGAAGCTTGTGTTTGATTCATTCGCCAAGTTAATCAGCTGAACATGAACAAATATTTGTTTGTTCGTGCTCTACTCGTTTTGACTCGAAATAATTACAATTATATATATATATATA